CGGGTTTTCAACAGGCACTCGATTGCGCGTTCAGGGATACTTCTAGCCATTCGGCTCGAGAGCCTAACCTCAAGGAAATAATGCCATTTAAGGGTCACTATGCCACCTGCCGTCATTGAAGTTTATGGTATTCTACGAGGCGACCAGCGTGCCGGGCCCCACCCCCTGCCGTACTCTGATGGCACTATCACGGTTTGTTCGTGACAAAGCCTCTAGTGTAGAACATCCTGACCCTGTTGTACAAGCTGTGTTAGGAGTAGCTTAATCGGGTTTTTCTAACGCATGGAGAACGCGCGAATTCAGTCCGTAGAGCGTCTGACCGCAGTCGTTCAGAAACCCTGGAACCACCCAATCAATTCATTAAACTGGCTAGCAAGTGAAATATGCTTAGTCGTCTCACAAGTCTCCCGTTGCGGAGAGAGCTGTGCGCAGGTCTTGATCGGGCCACGCGTCAAGCGCTCTGGTCATTATTAACCTCCTTATAGAATTGTGTTGGTTGGGGCACAGCCATTATCCAAGCCGCATCAGACTCACAAGCCTACTTATTTTGCAGCTCACTTTCACTGAATATCGCCTCACTATGCACCATCCGTGTACTCCTCGGGCTGCCAGCAACTTGGCTATAATTGAAAAGAGGATAGGTTAAGCTTTCCAGATCCACTGCCGCAAATTGTCACGCGTTGAGAGGTACAATACGTGAGGCCGGCTAGATCAGGCATGATCACAGCCGTAACAAGTACAAATAAACAAGTACTAGGCTGTCGGATAGATCCACCTTGTCAGACCCGCACGGTAGGTATGGATTGGCGCGCATAATTTACAAACAAAATTGACATATTTGCACCAATTAACATACTATCGTCTCATAAAATTTCATTATTTTGAACTTTTTGAGGCCGAAATCCTCGCTTTTTTCTGAACAAAACTTTAAAGAAGGCATAATTCTGGACAAGGTAAACATGATAAGCGCAAATTTTAAAGTATCTGTTTGAAATAGCACAGAAATCGAGTATAAAATGCATACTACTTCAGCGTTTATCTTTCGCGCGTGTTAATTCCGTATTATGTTGAAAGCTCGCCCGCCGGCCGTGAAATACTCCTACTGACGTTCAAACCTCACTTAAGAAGGCTTGACCTGGGAA